CTTTTTTTTTTTTTTTTTTTTTCCTTGGTACTGAGGTTTGAACTCGGGTCCTTGAGCTTGTGAGGCAGGCGGCAGCACCACTGAACTAAATCCCTGGCCCAAGGTCCATCATTTTAAACTTCTGTAAAATTCCCAACTTCCTTGTTCTTTACTCCTTATCTTGTGCTCATCTAGCAAAATCCCAGCCCTAGAGAAACCTAGCGGCCTGACTTCTGCACCTAGAATCAAGAAAACTGCCAGAGACGATGATGATGCAAAATCAGTGCACATCAAATCCATGGAAATTGTCTTTCGTCTCAAATGAGCCCTAAGCACTGCCCAGCAATCTCTTTTTATCACTTCAGTCAACTCTGCATGTTCACATCAATTATTGAAAATCCCTAAAGTTCTGCTTTACCTCTTTCATCAATTTTAGCAAATAATCTCACCTCCCTTTTCTGTGAGAAAGGCAGAAGCCATCACGTAGAAGAGTTTCCTCGAATGTGACCATAAATAAAATCGTGCCGGGTCACCTCTCCTTTCTCCTCTACTTTTGGAATTGCCTCTTTTCCAACCGCTTTATTGAATAATCTACCAGTGTTGTCAAACTCCCTCACCTCCTGGTTGCCTCCTGTCAGCATTTGTGCACTGAATGACTGTTTCACATTTTTAAAAATCGTGTTTTTATGCCCGAAAAGTTCTCAGGTTCTGCCCTTCAGTGTCGTCTGCTTTCACAAGGCAAACGTGAGAAAACTTTGTCCAAACCCGACCTCTCCCTTTCTTACGTCCACTCACCCAGCAACCACCGGAGTCCGCTCTGTTCCAATACTCCTTTAAAACCTCCTTCCCAGGACTGCCTGATTCCTCACAGCCACTCACACGCTCTGCAGTATTTCATTCATTTTCCACAAAATCAGTCCTAACCAGAATGAGAAAGGATGGGAGGTGAGAGTAAACCAAAGAAAGCTAGGAGAATCGTAAAGTTTTAAGCTACAAAAGCTGCCTGCTTTCCAGACAACACCTAGCTAGCTGAAGATTTATAAGGGAGCCCTTCACCGGGGTTCTGGGAGCTGGGTTCCTTCTTTGTTCACACAGCTGGTGATTCCTTGCGCTCTGCTTAATTTGGAAATGCGTGTCTCCCTTACCCGGGTGGGAAGACGTATTCCAAGGCAAGGACTCTGTTTGCTGGAGACTACGTAGTTAGCAATTATGAGCACAGAGATCTTCTTTAGCACATTTTTCTGTTTGTTTCTTGCCCCTGGCCCCTTACTTTATGGTTAGGAGACTAGCAGGTGTTTATTTTAATATACCACATCTAACACAAATGGGTATGGAAATTTCTGGCAGGGTTCTTTGTCACGTTTTACTTTTCAAGAGGTACCGCTTTGTCCTAGAGAACTTATCCTTCATTCTCCATGCTTAGGCTGTGTTTTAAAATCAAATTTCCACTGAGTTTGGAAGGGATCAGAATAAGTCACATTTTATTTCCCAAAAAGGTCTTTGAACTTTGTCCCATTGCTACAATTCTCAGTGAAGTCTTTCCCAAAGGATAATGACACTGCTAAGAAAGGCACGGGTAACTTCAGGCAGCTTGTAAATTGTTGTACTCCCGTTGGAAGGTGGAGGTGGTGTATCACCAACAGAGGGAGTGTGGGGGCATCTGTCTGAAAACTGTTCCCCTCCTGGCCGCCTTGCCAGTTTCTGCTTATACAACGCGGGCAGCTTGGGAGAACCATATTGTCCCTATAAGCTCGTAACACATGGACAAATGATTAAAAACACATGGAAAACAGTTCCGCAGCTAAGCAAAAATTCAGATGGGAATGGAAAATCAGCTTGCAAAGCTTTCAACTGACTCAGGGCCAAATGTAGGACAGAATGCAAGGAGAAGTTGCCAAAAGACAGGAAAGTCGGGGGAAAAAGAAAGTCATGGAGAGTCTACCTAAAACAATGACACCTTGTATTGACAGAAATCTCCACGGCTGTCCAAGAGTAGGCACGAAAATCAACTCTGGAAATATTAAAACCTTCATCTCAGGAAAGATTTTAGACAGATTTATATTTTCTACTTTCTATAAATAAAAGTTGGCTTACCTATCTTGGCAAGACCTGTACAGAAACATAATCTTAGGTACCTGTAACATAAATATTAAAATATTACACATTTTCCCTCCAAGGTACAGGAATTAGGTAACAAGGCGGCATGAGACACACTGTGAAAAATTATGACAATAAAACGTGAAAGCAAAGCAAACTTTCCCGCCAGACTTTGCCTTTACCAAGTAACTGACGCCGGCTCATGTTCGCCATAAAGCTTAGTAGGACTTCGATACGTTTGCAAAGGTTCAACCGGACTCGGCCCTTTCTTTGGGTCTAGTCATAATTACTCTAATGATTCTGCTGGGCAGGAAAGCTGCAGACCAGGACAGGATAAAGAGCAAGCTCCTGGTGGTGTTTTGTTAACGAGCTTCTGACCTGAATTGTTCCTGAGCCCACACCCACTGAATCACTTTTCTCTCCTTTTCACACCATTCAGATCTTCAAGTGTTGACTGGAGCATGATTTGGAAACAAAGTTCTCTTCAGTATACACAACCAATATATTCTTGAATGCTGACTGCAAAAGGAAATTTTGAAAATGTGGCTCCAGGGAGAAGCTGTGCTCCGTAAATATCTATCACCCAAGTCCAATGCATTAGCAAAGTTAAGAACTCTTTCTGTCCTGTGAAGAACTATTCCTTAATTTGTCTCCTTTTAGAATGAGATTGATATATGATAGTTCTTGTCTCAAAGCAAGGGCAGTCGCTTTTTGAAAGAGCTTCCTCAGGGCTGGGGCTTGGCTCAGTGGTTCTGCTGCCTGCCTCACAAGCACAAGGGCCCAAGTTTGATCCCCATTACAAAAAAAAAAAAATAGGGTTTCCTCAGTCATCTGGCTATTTCCAAAACTTAAAATTATCACCTCATTCAATAAAAAAAGACCCCAAAAGTGTGAAAGTTCACATTTGTAATTTAGAACCTTAAAACCCCTATTCTCCAGCCTCCAGTTCCACTTTCCTGCTAGAGTTAGTCCCTGTTTGAAGTCGCTGCCTTCTTTCAAGTGCAGATGCAGGCTTTGCATTACACACACATGCGTGCACAGCACACACTTTTAAAAATATCTTTTATTGGGTGCTTACTGTGTCCCAGGTACATTCTTTATAGTTTTACATTTAATTTTCACAATTCTTCCAGCAAGTTATTGATGTCTTCATGTTACAAGCGATAAACCTCCGTTTAGAGAATTTAGGATACATGGCCAGGAAGTGATATAGACAGGAGATATCATCCCAGCTCATGTTTTTCTCCCTTGGAGTATGCCCATTGTAATGCAGCTATTAAAATGGTTTATTTTATATTCTATTTTAAATTAGCATCATGTGATAGAATTATGTTTTTAATCAGGCCATGTACTAGAATTATGTTTTTAATCAGGCCATGTACTAGTCTACTAGGCATTTTTCTCTCACTGGCCATCTGAATCATGTAATTCTATTCCATATATTTATTGCCCTGAGATATATGTATGAAATAGTTCATACACAGAGCTTCATACAAATAGTTTTCATTTTCTTTTGAAAAGTTTCTAGCTGTTGTGGATAATATTTTACTGGGGTTTTTTTTTTTTGAGCAGTTTATTTAAACACTTATTTGATCAATTTTGATACATGTGTTTTCCTTCTGGCAACTAAGGATGGAACCCATGGCCTTGCGCATGTAAGGCAAACACTCTGCCACCGAGCCACATTCCCAGCCCAGACTTTGGTAAATGTACACTTGTAACACACTTACTATAACCAAGAGAGTGAACACATCGTCATGCTCAAAAGCGTCATGTCCCTTGTGGTCCCTCCCTCCACCTTTGCTATTGCTCTACCATTCCTACAAGAGACAGCTTACTTTCTGTCATCATAGATTACTTATATTTTCTAGAAATGGGCTATTTATGTACTAGGTACTCTTTATTGTTGGTCAGGCTTCCCTCACTCAGCAGGATTATTCTAAATATCATCCATGTTGTGTCAATAACTCTTTTGTTTTATTCCATTATAATGTAAAGATAATTTCCTTATTCATTCATGATAATGAACATTTGGGATGTCTACTATTCTGGGTGCTACAGATAAAGCTGCTATGAACATTCATGTGTAAGTCTGTGAATGGAAATTATGCTTTACTCTTGGGTAAACACATAGGAGTGCGTTGGCTAGATCATACGAGATATATGTTTAACTTTTAAAGAAACCATCAAATTTTTGGTAAAAGAGGTTGTGCCATTTTATAGTTTCAGCAACAGTGTATGAATGCTCCAGTTTCTCTATATCTTCACCAACTCTGGATATGATGACTTTTCATTTTATCCATCCTGTTAGGTGTGTAGTGCCACCTAGTAATGATTTTGGATATAGTTTTATGCACTTTTTGCCATCCCTATATCTTTTCTTGGTGAAATGTTAAAATCTTCTCTTCATTAAAAAAGATCTTATTATTAATTTTTAGAATTTTAAAAACTATAGTCTGGATATAAATAATTTATTAAATATGTGCATAGTAAAACTTTTCTTCCAATATGTGATTTGCATTTTCATTCTCTCAACAGTGTCTTGGTCATAATTTATTATCCTTGTGTGTGCACTGTTGGAACTGAATTGGTAAAATCTTGTTTAGAATTTTTCTATCAATATTCATAAGAGATAATTGCTCTGTAGTTTCCTTTTCTGGTAATATTTTTGTGTAGCCTAATATCAGAGCATTATTGATAGAAAGTATTCTTTCCAATTTTATGGGTGAATTTTTGTAGAACTTGTATTACTTCTTCCCTAAATATGTGTAGAACTCAACTGTGAAGTTATCCAAGCCTGCAGTTTTGTGAGAAAGTTTTAAACTACAATCAATTTCATTAGTTGTTATAGGACTTTTTCAAGTCATCTCTTTTTTATTGTACTTTGGTGGTTTGGTAGTTGTTTCAAAGAATTTATATGTTTCATTTATGTTGTTGAAGTTATTGACACTAAGTTTTTTATGGTATTCTCGTTTTTAATAGCTAGAATCAGTAGTGATGTGATCTCTCTCATTCCTAATATTAGTAATTCAAGTATTTATATTTTCCTAATCAATCTAAAGGCTCTCTCTCTCTCTCTCTCTCTCTGTCCCCCCCTTCCCTCCCTCCTTTCCTTCTTTCCTCTCTCCTTCATATTCTCAAAGTATCTGTTTTTGGCTTCACTCGTTTTGCTGTTATTTAGTTTTTTATTTCATTGATTCCTGCCTGGTTTTTATTATTTCCTTCTGTTTTGTTCTATTTCCATTTTTAAGAGAGAAGTAATACCGAGATCAGACTTTTCTTCCTAATATAGGCATTGGCTACTATAAACTCTCCCTGTGTATGCTACTGGCATTCCACAATCTTTAATATGCTGTTTTCATTTTATTCAGATCAGAATATTTGTATCTCCTCTTTGATTTCTTCTTTAACTGATGTGTTAAAGAAGTATATAATTTAATGACTAACCCCTCTTGGAGATCTTCCAGAAATACTTGTTGCTGATTTCTAATTTAATTCCACTGTTGTCAGAAACATATTTTGTTTGACTTTTAAAGTTACTGAGACTTGTTTTATGTCCTAATATGGGTCTGCCATAGTAAATGTGTCATATGCATTTAAAAATAAAATATATTGTTGCATGAAGTATTCTATAAATTTCATTTCATTTAGTTGTGTCCACATTTCTATATTCTTATCAATTTTCTAGCTATTTGTTCTATCAATTATTAGAAAGTATTGATATTTCTTTCTATAAATATGGATGTGCCCCTTTTTCTTTTCAATTCTATCAGCTTTGTTTCATGTATTTTTAAACTTTGTTATTAGATGCATACATGTTTTGGGTTATTAGATTCTCTTAAAATATTAGTGCCTTAACATAATAAGGTATCCTTGGTAATAGTTATTGCTTTAAAATCTACTCTAATATTATTATAGCCACTTCAACTTTGATTTGGTTTAGGGTGGTATATCTTTATTCTTATAATTTTAATGAATTTCTGTATTTATACTGAAATTATGTTTACTACAGGCAGCATACAGTCTGGTCAGGACATTTTGTTCTTTTCTGTAGGGCAAGTTGAGATGGATCACCTGTGGAAAGCAAAACACAGATGGAGATGGAAACAAAAGGTGAACTCATACGTCACTGCTCGGGAAAAGCACTGCAGGTTACCACGAGCCCCTTATGGCAGTGCCGGTTGATTTTTGTTCCTTTCTGTCTTAAAATAAGCTAAACTTTATTGCCTAGCAGAGTGTAAGGCCTATAAAAAGTTACATGTGTAAGTCATGAGGATAGTACGTCCATTTCCTGCCTGATCCTGCTCTACAGACTTATAAAATTAATTTTACAAAAATCATGGAGCTCTGGACATGACATCCAGGCACACTCCACCGTTAGGAACAGTTCCTTCCCTTGACTGATGGGGAGAGAGGAAGATCAATGGAGCAGTACTGTAAACTTACCAGTGTGTCAAATGAGCCTTCCTTCCCTCTTAGCCAAGTGCAAACAAGTAAACGAAAGTCTGGGAGAGACATGGGCAAAAACACGAAAATGTAGCTTGGGTGAGTCAGATACACACACAGCAAGTACATCATTCCCTTTATGGTTTTTGGAAATAAATTTTATATAGCGATTTTAGTAGCATTTTTTAAGTCTGGTGAATTTTATCAGACTCGCAACTCAAAAATATTTTACTGCAGTGTAGTAAAACCATCTTACAGAATTATAATGGCTACGCGGAACACTGAGAGGAGGAGATTCCACTACCCCTGGGAACACCTCAGTTCTGGTGCTGATTTCTTTACCTTCAATCTTTGAGGACCTCAGTCTTTATTTTATTATTAGGGTGTTAGATGACGTGATATCAAAGATCTCATTTCTGTTACTCCAAGAATTTCTAAGATATAGACACATGCAGTGCTGCCATTTTTGAAAAAGTAATTGTTAACAAATCCAATTAAGTAGATTTAAAACTCAGGGCCTAACTGGATCCCGGAGACAGGAAATTTGAGACAGCTGCTACAAGTAACACTTCCATCTGATTATAAACGCAGGAAGTTAATATCAGTTTCTTAATCAGGAGAGAAATAAAGCAAAAGTCAGTCTGCATAGTCTGCATTACTTGTATCTGAGTGTGCTCCCCTCTAATTCTGGAAAAGAATATCACCACTGATTTTCACTGTGACTTCCTCTCTGGTAAATTTACATATTGTGCTATACTTGTATACTTTTTTTTTTGTGGTGTTGGGTTTGTACTAGGCTATATCCCTAAACTTTTGTTTATTTTCATTTTTCAGTTTTCAAGACATGATCCTGCTAAATCACTATGCTGCCCAGCGGGGGCAGGGGGAGCTCTAACTTGCAATTCTCCTGCCTCTGCCTCCCAGAGCGTTATGCTTTTATACATTTTTCTATCCCAATCTCTAGCATTTAAAACAATGCTAGCTGCAGAGTCGGTAAGCTACATTCAGTATCTGTTAACTGAATGATGGAAGCATGTGTGAAAGTCATATAACAATGCAGGTTGAAACAGTAAAGATGAGAGACATGTTGATCATTAAGACCTCAAACGCGTGTGCTCCCAGGAAAAAGACAAAATACGCAAAACTAAAAGAACAGTATCTGAGACCTAGAAATAATTTTATTTTATTAATTATGATGCAACACCAGTTATAGTACACGTACTATGCTGCTTTGTTGCAGAAATTAATCAGTACCAGTTTATGGATGAAATGTCACAGAACCGTCATATTGATTAAAATGGGTGCATATATTTCAGCTGTATTAAAAAGAAGCAAAAACAGAAATGCAAATAAGTGTTACCTGGTTTGTTTTAACCACGGCTTAGAAGGAGATGAAAGGATTGTAAGCTTTTAAAACTTTTAGCAAATACGGGCCGGAGATTTAGCTCAGTGGTTCCGCCACCTACCTCACAAGCACAAGGTCCCAAGTTCGATGCTGGTACCAAAAAAAATTTTTTTTGCAAATATATTCTGTTTTTTAAGACCAAAATTCAGAAGATTCTGAAAAGTCACATGCCCTTAGGTCCAGAGGGAGCATTTCATGAGTCAGTTTCAAGCTTGGGGAGGACTGGAGACATTTAGTACTGCTCCACCCTCAGTCCTTTCCTGCTCACCCTTTCTCCCCACGCTCCCCCTACTCTTCTGTAACTTCCCAGTCCTCCCACTCTGCTCATCTCCTCCTTCCCTCCCACGCCCACCAGAGCTGAACGTGTAGGACTGGCCAAGTAGGACAGAAGGAACATTTGACAGCCGTTTCCCACTTCTTCCCTGAGTCCAACCTTAACCACGATCGAGTAGGAAAGTCATGGTGAATCCTGCGCAGGACTCACACTTGCCTAAATCCATTACTTGGATTTCCTAACTTGATCACTATCGTCACGATCAGGAATATTTTAAAATATTCTGCCAGTATTTCTAACTGTTGTAAAAACTGCAGCTTTCTCTTTGTATACCATCATTTGCAATGATAGTTGTGTTACTTTTATTGCGGAAAAGTGTAACAGATTTCCCATGCCAACCAAGTTCTACACAACCAATCTGACATAGCTTTCCAATTCAAAATAATTTTCAGAGGTTTAGAATATCAGTAGCAAGCAGTGGCCCTTGAATTTCTTGATCTTTCACTTTCCTCCTAGGATGTGACCCTTCTTTTCTTAAGGCTAAATCCCACTTTCCACGCTGCAGAAGCCAGCGGGTCACAGGGAGCTGTCCGGGAGCTGGCGTAGAGGATAGTTGCGGTATATCTGGTTGTACACTAGAGGATCATGGGAGACCTGTGCATTGTGCTAGTCTAAAGGCCTTGGATATCTAAGGCAAGGAGCCACAGATTCTACAATTACCGTGTATTTAGATTTAAGTAAGAGGCAGAAGGTTGAGTCTTATGCACCTCTCTGTTAGTCAAAACTTTGAAGGATGAGCAGAAATAAAACAAATGAACAAAAATAAAACAAGCCTGTCATGTTTTATATTCAGAAAGTAGAATGACTTTCTTAAATCACTTTTAGTGCCTACAACACTCAAAGGCTTGCACCACAACTCTAATCTACTAGAGAACCCAATTTCAATTCCGAAGCTACACTGGCACGCTTATAGCAAGTTACATTGGGTGCATTCTTACTTTTCAGTGATTATAAAGAGGAAAAACATTTCAAAAATAAAGTTCTGATTTCCTATGATTAAACCTTAATTTTAGTAAGGCATTCTGGGAGGGATACTATGTGATTTATTGCTACAAAAATATTTCATGCAGCCAAGTTTATAAATTAATAAGGTACCTTGCCATGAGAGAATCCAGTAAACGGAATTTCTGAAAATAGAGATTTAAGGGCTCAAAATTGCAACAAAATTCTGAGTAGGCAAGTTTTCAAGAGCTGTTCCCTGTGTTACTTTTCTTTACCGGTCAGCATAGCTCACGGGGAAGCTTCCAAGGAGGCATTCTTCTTCCTCCATACGCTGATCACCACTCCCATGTACACTCTCATTCCAATGTCCTTGAGAAGTGCAGGTCAGCACGGTAACTGCTATGAAGATGAAGACATTTTGTTGCTTCCCATTTTTCAGGGCTCTGAAAGTCTGGAGAACCCAGTCTTTAGCTTTAGATGGTGGCACGTCGACATTCGCTCCGAGAAGGAGGCATGTTTCACGAGTGATGGTGGGGGGCCCTGAATTCTCTCACCTTTACAGCTTTGAGCCTCCAGCTCCAAGATCCTTCCATCAGAAAAACAATTCTCCTTTCCTTCCACAGCCTCCAGTTTTAGTTTTCACATTTCGAAGGTACCACAGGACAAACAAACCATTTGCAACTCAACCTTGGTTTAATGAACCGGTGGGGTATGCTTCACTTACGCCACAATGGCAGTAGCACCTACAACAGACTTGAGAGTGGGCACATTCGAGGTAACGGAAATAACTCATATCGAAGGAACATGAAATTGGTGCTGCCCGAGATGTGCAGTGTGGTGGGTATGCAGGTCTTCTGGAATAAGTCCACTTTACAATACTGCAGGCACTTATCGAGAAAGATACCGAGATAAAAATTGTATCTCAATTTGTAAGAAATACTCTTTTATCAGCCTCCCTGGAATTATTACTCTAGGTTCTATTTTTACAAGATAGACTCACAAAAGTGTACCCATCCAGTCGTGACAATTTGCTTCCTATGGAGCAAATTCATAAATCTTGTTAAGAAACAGGTGAGAGAGCTCGGGCAGGCACTGCATATCCAGTCACATTTCGAGTTTCCTAGAGCACACGAAGTGGTGAGGCTTGCCTTTCCTGCAGTGCCTTGTTTGCCACTTCCCCCTTCTCTGAACCAAAACACAGCTCTTTCCAAACTGTGAGCGAGGCGGGGGCCCCCTCTTCCAGATGGTGAAGGTGAGAGATTCTCCGCCAATCCACTCCCAGTGGCCAGCGTGCCCTTGGTCGTTCAAACCTAACGGGAGCCAAAAGAATGCAGCAAACATGTGACTACTTTTGTATCCAGATACAGTCCACGCTGTTGCTCTAAGCACAGCTAATGTGGGCTCAGGTTCCAAAAGAGACAACAGACATGGAAAATACTGCAAAACACAAAGACCAGACAGCTTTGGCAGCAGGCAGACCTACGGCCCAAGTCTAATCCCACGACTTGTCAGTTGGCTGCTTGGGGCTTTTGTTTACCCTCTCTGAGGTTTACTTTCTGATCTAAGAAATGGACACAAAAATACTTGAAGTAAGGCTGCTTCGAGGATTAAATTAGCTAATGCCTCGAACACTCTCAGCACACCTCCACTTTTAATACATCCTGCCTACTTTTATCTGTGTCACGCATCCTGCAGGCAGAGCTCTTATCACAGGGAAGCAAACACTTCCCTGCCCAGTGTTCTTCCTCATTAGTTCAATGTCTTCCTTTGCCTATTGGAAAGTAGCTTGCGATGTATTCCTTTGAGTCTGGAGCTTTCGGTTTCAATCCGCTGCAACTCCAAGGAAAAGCAGCTTTGCTCTTCCTCCCTCCCTCCCTATTCCCACCAACAAGCCCTGCAAATTACACTTTCACGTTGTGAAGCGTCCAGGATGTTTTTTCTAAAGAGGCATTTTCTCCCTTCTCTCTCATTCGGAGTACAAACAAAAAAAAGGATAAGAGAAGAGAGGAGTCCTCTTCAGCAGCATAATCTGACACCTTGAATGAATACAGTCCTGGGTACGTAGCACATTGCCTTCTCCCAAATGATGCTGTGAATATTCTTGGGTAGAAGCAACTGAAGTATTTTGGGTTAGGAATACCTCATTTTCTTTAGTGACTTACTTGCATTATCAATCAAATAAAGATTAGTACAGTCAAAATTAGAAAATACTAAAACCTTCAGAAACAAAGAACAAAATTAGGAGTATCTATAGTTTTTATTAGAGATGAATCATTTCTACTTCTTCAGCATATTTCACCATTTATACTTAGGTATATGCCACATACACATAAATTTAATTGTCTGTTTGCTTTGCTATACTGGGGATTGAACCCAGGGCCTTTGCACTGAGCAACACTCCAAGGCCTTTCATGTTTTATAATGAGATAGGGTCTGACCTTGCCCTATTATTATAAACCATAAGATTCGGCCCACAGAATAAGAAGAAGGTGTGGGACCATTCACCTCCTTTTGCAGTAGAGCACAGATACTTGCCTATCCAAAAGGGCTTCCTCCTACTGAAGTCCCACAGCCACTGCATGTGCTGCCTGGAGAACACCGTTACAAGGTTGCCCAGAAATCTACGCACAAACAGGAAAAACAAGAGTCCAGTGAGATAACATTTCTGCTTATATGAAACACATAACACAAATAAAAGCTTAAAAAACAAAGAGTAAATATGTAGAAAGAACTTTCCAGAACTTGAATACTCTGTTTTAACTTTCATACATATCTGCCTGGTAGAAGTGGGGGACAGCTAGGAAAGTGTTCACTCTCTCTTTTTAATAATATCCAAGCTTGAAGGCACAGTTCAACAGGTTTGAATATCTCAGTGGAAACTTAGCAACTGCCTTCTTACAAAGATTAAATATTCGATGCCAAAATGCTACTCCTAAGTTTTTTCTAAGTGGTACACATGTGACAATTATACAGTTAATTTGATCCATATGATAACCCAATTATTCAGATAAAATGACTTGAAGTCTAAATTTTGAAATTGGTGTGTTTAGTAAAATAACTCAATAATTTTGACTCTTTTATTATATTCAATGAAATACTCACAGCCCTAATGTCAAATCTTCATGTATTTGATAGGAGTTAAAGTATCCGTTCTTATGGGGGCATATAAACATTTTTCAACAAAACAGAATTCTCTATGAATTGCAATCAGCTGAATTATTCCTGTAATGTTTGATTGTGTATAATTTACCACTAGTGCTTATTAAAAGCTTTTAAACAATTTGAATAAGTCAATAGATAATTTTTCATCTTCCTTAAAAAAGATTTCAAACAAGAAACACACAGTGTATACATATAACATTGTGTCCCAGAAATATATAAAATTCTTGCCAATTTAAATTGAAGTCAAAATAAATAATTTTAATACATTAAAAAAAAAACCAGACAAAAAGGGCCAGGGATTTAGCTCAGTGGTGCCACCACATGCCTCCCAAGCACAAGGTCCTGTGTTCTATCCCTGATCCCCCTCCCAAAAATAAAATAAGAAATAAAAGAAACAGACAAAAAAAAAAAAA